TGGGACCCTCCTCCGGTGGCCGGGGAGCAGCTGGGGATTGAACCGGCGCTGTAGAGGCCGCAGGCAGCTTCACAACCCAGCGCTCAACTGCTACCACCGGGGAGGCCCCATAAAATATGTAATTGGTTCTTCTCCTGGAAGTGGTCCCGTCCACACTCTTTTCCCTACTAAGTTAGGGAGAAGCTCTAAGCACCTGTCAATAAACTCTTATCTTTTCTCAGTTTCCCAGGCACTGAACCTAAGAGGGTAGAGAGAGTTTTTCACCCAGATATTGATAAGAAATGGTGAGTGGCCTTTCCATATTTCTACCAACCAAAGCAAGGATTTATTCCATGAGTGAGTGCAGATGGCAGGGGGAAGGGAGACAAAGAGAAAGAAATGGAAGGGATGGAAACATGATCACTTCTCTTTCAGTGATTCAAAAAAGAAACAGTGTGTGAAAACACAGCCCATGGTATAATGATCCATTCATAATTGTCAGCCCTCTCCAGGTGAGATAACTTCAGTTTGGCCCAAGTTCTCTTGTTATTCATCAGGACAATGCATGTCAAGAGCTTTTAACAAATAGTTCTTGGGTAGGGGTAGGGTATGTGAGTGGGCAAGAAGGCTCCTGATGTCAATATTGAAGGAGAATTAACAGGGGGGAAAGGGGAGGCATCCCTGATAACCCTGCAGAAGCGCACATGCTCCTGTCACTCTTATCACTGGCAACAGCAAAAGATCGGGATTTCCTTCAAGCCACAGCCTCCAGTTCCTGACCACACTTCTCCATCATCACGCCTGGTCAATACATCGGTTCAATAGATTTTAGTCTAGATTCTCAACACCTCAAAAATTTCTATCTCTTGGGCCTCCCTGGTGGCGCAGCAGTTGAGAGCTGGGTTGTGGAGGCTGCCCATGGCCTCTGCAGAGCTGGTTCGATCCCCGGCTGCTCCCCGGCCACCGGAGGAGGGTCCCACACAGCGCGCAGACCTCTCCTGCCACCCGCTGCTCCCCTCAGCAGTGTACTTCGGTCCTTCTGCCTGCTCTGCTCCCCGCTCTGGCTCTGGTGAATTCTCTCACCCTCCTGTGCTTCTGACTGTACCCAGTGCTTGTATAAATAAATTAAATAAATAAATAAATAAACCTTAAAAAAAAAAATTCTACTCTTGGTTTCCTGCATTTCAAGTAATAGGAACTCTGTGCAATAAAAGGGGTATATGTTTACTTCAGGAAAGAACACAACTGATCCAGAACTTCCTAAACTACGTGTTTGACCTACACCCACAATTTGGTGAATTTGAGGACATACACCAGACTTCAGCCTTCTTTACACAAGCTGGCTCATCTACTTATTCCATGTTAGCTTTATAGTACACATTTCCTAGAAAACAAAGGGCACAAACCTGAGCCAGGTAAAAATGAACAATTAAACAACAACAAAAAATCTTTTTCAGTGAAAAGTTTTTCAAGTTTGGGTATCTTTTTCATAAATCACTTTATAGCCAAACAGTATGTTTCACTACACACAAAATATGGACATGAGTAAAAAGCCAAAATAAAAAAAAAAAGGTGGAATACAAATATATACAACGTTAGTCATAACTTACTTAAAAAAAAAAGAAACCAAAGGGTAATTTCCTTAGAGCTGAGCATGACTCACCTGAAAGTAAAGATTTGACTTGATTGCCTCACTTCTGCTTAAGCAATAATGAAGTCTAATTCACTAGAAATTGTATCAAGATATGTCCTCTTTAAATATTCTGAATAACTGTAACAAAGGACTGGGAAAATCTGTTAAGCCTCCACCTGGCTTTCATAGAGATTATCACAAAAACCATTTAAAGAAGAGTTCAAGACTTTCTTTTTCCTTAAGAAGGTTCAATATGTAGGAAAACATATTTAAAAGTCTCTAGATACACAGAGTTGGAATTTTTTTTTTAAATCCCCCTATGGTATAGCCTAAATTCTTCCTCTTGAAATTTAAAATAATATAGGTCAATTTAGTACACTCCAATTCATCATAAAGAAAGAATTTTCTCTTCCAGAACTGCTGAAATAAACTACATTAAAATCCATTTCCCCTTCAGTTCTACAACTACTAGAGTTTTATCTTTCAATAAGTATTGCAGATTCACAATATGGAAGGCTTCTTATACTGTGTTCAAATATTGCAACATTTTGTTCTAGCACAAAAGTTTCAGATGGTTGATAAATAGGGTAAAAAAATCACTGAAGCACAACTTGCAGATGACAGTGTTCATTTTTCTTCCATTTACAGATCAAAAGCTTTGCAATGGTACCTCTATCCAAGTAAATGGGACTCTATTCTTTATTTTTTAAGTTTTTTTCTTTCTTTTTGTATATAAGAACCGGGGCGTAGGCCAGAGGTGCAGAGGGTGAGGTGATTCACCAGAGACAGAGTGGGGAGCAGATCAGGCACATCTACTGAAATACACTGCTGAGGGGAGCAGCAGGCAAGACAGGAGAGGTCTGCCGCACCATATATGGGCTAACACCCTGTCTGGGGATTGAACTCAGGCAGTAGCAGTGACAGTGCTGAGACTTAACCCCTGGGTCACCAGGAAAAGCCTGCTCTAAAAAATATTAGAATTATAGGAACATTATCGGGTACCCAGACGCTAAGTGACAGCACTCATAAGGCCCTGCAAATGACCCCACAGCCTTTCTTCCTGAAAACACTTTTGAAATATTATAATTCTGTGATCAAAACCAAGACAATAGGATGCAGGTCTCCCCTCCTAAGTTAATTTATTCATAGCAGGAAACGTTTAGCCTTTAGCTAAGTGGGAAGAAGCCAGCTTGCTCTCTTCCCATTCGCACCAAAGAAAATAGCTAAGTTGTCAAGATCTGAAAAAACTATCATTTTAAATCAGAAGCAAAGGGGTGACTCAACACGTGGCATTGTAACAGGAATGTCCTGCTGACTTGGATCTGTCATCCTGAGCAGCTGCTCTGAGACGCCTCTGTGATCCAGCACACATGAAACCCGGTTCCCACAGATATTTTCTCATTATAAGTTGCTGTCTAAGATTTTGCTAAGAAACTCACTGCCACATCTAATATAATAAGGGATGCATTGCCTTTCCCATACAGCAGGCTGATCTCACTGTGTCTATTTTGATTGTATCGGGCTAGATTTAATAAAAGTTCTGATCAACTTGGTCACATGGAAATGAGTGTGAACACTGTAGAGTGAACACTGCCTGACATGGTATCTGGAGTATGTTTCTCGACTGCAGCAGGGAAGATGTTAATGGCATGCAACGTTTTTGTGATTTTTCCTACATTCACTTCCATCAGGTGTATTTTGGATGTATTGGATTTTACAGAAAAACTTTAAAACAAGAATGGTTCCTCTATACAAATACTTGCTCAGAATTTCTGCCACTGTTTCTACTATTGCTGATGAAACTCCCTTACTTAAAGTTGAAAAATAGGGAATACTAGACTTCTATTTTTCCTTGAGGTTATAGGTGAATCTCATCTCTTTGGGGAAAAAAATAAAAGGATGAGACAGTGTGTCTCCTGTCCCTGACATGCCACTTCAAGCAAATACTCGTTCTCCTTACATAAACTCCCTGTTTTATGTGTCATTGGCAGAGTATCATTAGAACATAACTGATTTCTTTTAAAGAAAAAAATATTTACCGCCATCCACAATAGCCCCTCCACACTTGCTACCACCCCCAGCTTCTGTAATCTCAGTTATCAACATCCACTAGTTTACTTTTATTTTGCTTTATCCATTCATTGCTTTTTCCTTATACATGACTTTTTACTGAATCTGAAGTAACAGAGGTGTTCAAAAACAACAGCAGGAAATGCTGGGTAGATAACTGAAAATGAATGTTGAAAGTACTGCCCTGTCTTAACATTTGCATTTGGTACCAAAGTGCAGAGGAAAACATTCCTCATCTTACAAATTACTTGAATTCCTCAATTTTCCTATGATTAGGATAGTTGCTTTCTTTGAAAGAGGGCTTAAATATATTCCTCTAAACAATGAAAAGCCAATTCACTCTTTAAAAAAAACAAAAAGTATCATTTCCCAAATGTTACATCAGAATATTTTAGGACACTATAATAAAAGAAGTTGACCAGTAAGATCCTCTATCTTTGAAAAACCTAAATGACTATTGAAAGTCTTCTCAAAAGCCACCGGGTGAGGGTCCCACATGGCGCACAGACCTCTCCTGCCGCCGGCTGTTCCCCTCAGCAGTGTACTTCTTCAGTCTGCCTGCTCTGCTCTCGGCTCTGACTCTGGTGAATTCTCTCGCCCTCCCACGCTTCTGACTGTACCCAGTGCTTGTATAAATAAATAAAAAAATAAATCTTAAAAAAAAAAAAAAAAAAACCCAAAGCAAGAATTAAATGTAGTCATTGTGAGATGTGATCTTTTTTGAACTGCCTCCCTCACAGCTGAGTTCAAGTCTATGGACCCAGTTCAACCTCTCAATATCAGAGTTCAATAAATTTAAACAAAAATGTCACCTTTATAATTAACCTAGTTCCAAATATAAGTGACCAACTACATGTCAACTCATAACCCATTAACCAAAACCAAACAGAGGTACTGGTTCTTTTTATCTTTTAAAACTGTCAACTCTTAGAGTAAAGAACATTTGTATCTGGCATAAATTCTTTACAGTGTCAACAATTAATAGCTGTTCGTGAATAATGTATACTAATAATAAGGATGTTCTCCTTGACAAACTTTTCTCCCTCTTGATGAAATAATCTATTGGCACTGAATGGAAATACAGTGCATTTTTATTCTGAATGTTTAACATAATAAAGTATTAGTTAAGCAAAACTCTATTCTACTTTAAAAGCCTAAGGCTTAAGCAAAACCATCAATAAATCTGTAGTATACAGAATGGCAATTGCTCCATTTGTTTGCACTTCTCTGGGCTATGTCAAAAAGAGAAATGACAAGTTTTAAAGTAGCAGGCTAAGTATTGTAAGAACCCTTACTTTCCTGAATTGAAAACACTTACTTTGCCTTTAGAGTCTCCTCCTGAAAATTCCAGTGTGGATCTTCCACCAGTTGTAATTCTCTTAATACCCTTCCAGGCTTGTAAGCTGCATTGATTATCATGCTAAGAACCTGTTGGGGGAAAAGAACCACAAAGAACTTCAATTGCATTCATTTCTGCTAAAACAAGAATGCTCTGGAAACAACCCTTCTGCTGCTTAAGATGCATTTGCTCAACAAAAGTTGAGTGAGGGAACTGTGACGAAGTTGGATAAAACATTCTGCATGCAAACCCTGACTTGGCTAGCCATCAAGGGGATAAGGGTGGGGGGTAAAATTCATCCCTTTGGCTGGGGGAGCATGAACTGCTGTTGGGGGAGGGGTGCTGATTCTCACTAGCATCTCTAATTGCAGAAAAATGAAATCATTTCCTGTAAAGAGTCATTGATTATTCTTCATCAAGATTATTCTTTATAGGACTGGCTACTGAGAATTTCGTTTATTCTAAAAAATAAATTTCAAAAGGAATCACAAAAATGGAGACAGCAGGTTTGTGCCAACACTTCTGAACATACTCAGATAACTGTAAAGAAGATAACACATTATATGAAACTCATGTGTGGCTGGCTTAGTTTGTGGGCATTTAAAACATGGACAAGCTCAGAAACATGTGCGAAAAAACAGTCTGGAGCATCCAGCGCCATTCAATGTCATATTCCTCTGATGATCCCTTCACTCTCAAGTCCCAGGTCCAAGAAAATAAGCATTTTATCACTACCTATTATGCCACTCCCAAAAGAACTGGATGTTTCCTTTCTGGGCCCCCTACATGCATGCTCTGGGGAGATAATATGCTCTTGTTCATCTTCCTGCATGAGAGGTAACGGGAATTTAAAGCCCTTAGAGTGCACACCCTTCCATAAGCAAATCATCATGAACAGTGAACACTGATGAGTTCTGGCATGCTCATGAGTTCTGGCATGTTCTCCTGAGTGAAGGTTCAGAATAGCACACAAAGGCACACAGAGACCTAGGGCCTATCTGTGAAATGCCCATTCGTTGAGGACCTGCTATATGCCAGCCCCCAGGAACACTCAGCCAGGCACAGAATGCAATGCTCCCTATGCAAGTTCCTCTCACACCAAAGAGGAGCTCACTTGTCAGGTTTTAAAACAAAAAGCACCACTGAGAAGGTAAGAAATTATCTTATGGAAATAGGACACTGTCACTGGAGCTGCAGCACCCGCTATTCTTTTGGAGGAGACCAGTACAATACCCATGGGAAGGAAGGGAGGAAAGTATGTCGCAAAATTTTCATGCCAGTTTCATGGTTGTAGATCCACCTGATGCTAAGAAACAATAAAATTTTCTCATATTATAACTGAGGATTCCATCTTAAATATTTTATACTAAGCAGCCAGCATGTTAACTGTCTTCTCTTCGTCTGAGGAGTGCTTTGCTATGTTCCAAAGTTTCCTTAACTCCACTTCAAGAGAGCATAGTTCAGACAAGGCACTGACAGGCCGCCACACAGCATTGCCAGGACTATTGGTGTTTATGTTTGCGGCATTAGAACAATCATCTGGTTTTACTATTTACTGTCAGTACAATTTACAGAAATTGAGTTTAAAAATAAATCTAATTAGAACTGGCTGAAATAATGCACTAAGTGTTTATCAACAGACAATAAAATTTCAACTGATTCTTTTCATTGCTTCACAAAATACATTTTGTGGTTGTGAAAAGCAAATGCCTTCCAGAGTTCAATTCCGTCTGGAAATAGGCAGTAATTAAATCGTAAAAAACACTCAATATTGAGTAATTTTCCCAGGGCTTTACCCGAGGCCACATCATTTGTCTCCAAATTCAACAAGCTCTCTATAAAACTTTGGGATTGTGAGCTAAATAACTTGTGTGTATGATGTTAGTGTATTATAGTCACCTGCATGAAAATAAGCAGATAACTGTTATTACTATCTGGAATTAGATTGAATAACTGCACTTGCAAAACAGAGAAATTCACTTCATTATGCTCTTAACCAGAAAGGGATGGGGTTGGAGTAACTTAAAAAGGAGGTGCATGCTAAAGCAATGCTTCACCTGATTACTTGGAGTTCATGAATTGTTTGTTGAGTACATACTTCTGGAGAGAAGTCCCCGTGCTGAATTATGGCAGAAGGGCAATAATAACCTTTGTAGCTGGATAGATCTGGGATCACATTCCAGTTCCATCCCTTCATAGTCATGAGTCTTTTTTTTTTTTAAGATTCATTTATTTATACAAGAACTGGGGCACAGGCCAGAGGTGCAGGAAGGTGAGAAAATTCATAAGAGACAGAGCAGGGAGCAGAACAGGCAGACTGACCGGAAACATTGCTGAGGGGAGCAGCGGGCGAGACAGGAGAGGTCTGCCACACCAAGTAGGTATCTCCCTGGCCTGCTGGGAGTTGAACCTGTGCTGCAGAGGCTGTGGACAGCTTCACAGCACTGTGCTAATCTCACTGCGCCACTGGGGAGGCCCCATAGCCATGAGTCTTTAGGCAAGATGCCTGATTGACTATCCTCTTCTGTACAGTGGGGGCACTGCCATTGACCTGGTTTATAATGAAGGGGGTCAAAACATGCCACCCAAAAATATGCCACATTGGTATAGGAGCATTTGAGCTGAAGGCAACTGAGCAATAACAGACACAGGAAGAATTCTCTTGGTCCTCCCCCTTTCTACTCAGAAACAGAGCATACATTTTCCAGAAGGGTGCCCCCTCCTCACTGCCATCCCAGAAAGAGGACCACAACCTTGGCCCCTGGAGATGTAAAGATAGCATGGAGACGAGTCTGCACAAATCCTACTAAAATAATCCTTATCTTCTACTAGTGTTCCCCAATTTTTACCTTGCTACCATTTACCACCCAAAGAAACCCAAACCCCTTTCCTTTGTCTTGTCACCTCTCCACAATTTATTGCCTTTTTGCTAAAATGATATATGAACAATTCAAGCCTAATGGTCTCTTTGGATTTTTCATTTCTTTTCTGTGAGACCCCTGTCCATGAGACATAAACATTTTCTCCTGTTTGTCTGTCTTTTGTCAGTTAAATTTGCAGGCCCCGTCACTGAACCTAACAGAGTAGAGAAAAACACTCCTCTCCTACAAAAAGTATGTGATGGCAAATAAAGAAGGTAACACCTTGGCATATAAAAAAAAAATGTTTAAAGGATAGACTTGTTAACATCCACGCAGCCATCATCAACCAATAAAATAAACTCTCAGCGTGTCTTTAACCTATTATCCCCACTGGTACAAATCTGTTTGTCTTGTGTTTTTGCAAAAGAACTCTCCTTAGGAATCTCTGTGATGTTCTTGCTCCTTTTCACAACCAAACTTCTTCCAAAGTCTACACTTTTACTTTCTTCATCTTCAATTCAATTCTCAACCTATGCAAATCTGGTTTCCACTTCAACTGGTACACAAAAATGCTTTGGGAAAGGCACCAGTGTCCTAATTATCAAGTCCAGTTGGCACTTTCACCTCACTGCAGACCCTGTCAGTGCTTTCCACAGTCCAGTCCTGCAGTGCTTCCTTGCTGTGCCCCTTTGCTCTACCAGGCACAGGAGTTTGTTTACAAAATGCTGGTGGATCAGGCTGTGGGAAGCAGAGAGGGAGAGAGTCAGAGTAACAAAGAGGATAGCAGTAGGTGCCCTGAGCACCTGTGCCCTGGTGTCCTGGAGCTGCACTGAGCCCTTCCACCTGAGCAGGGAAAGGAGCCAGCTGCACAGCAGTGGGTGCACAGGAGCAGCTCAAGAAACTTGCATTTCCTCCTCCTACTCCCCTCTTCTCTCCTGTACAAACTCAGCATGCAAAAGATTATATAAATCCATGGGCTATTTTTTCTGTTCATTTCATGATATTATGTTATTCCATGATTTCTTTTCATATTTACTTTCACTTCATTTCACAAAAACTCCCAAAACACCAAAAGTCATTTAGATAATTTCCAACCACAGCTATATGATTAAAGTTATAACATGTTGAAAGTGCAGGGAACCACTTAATAAGAAAATTATTTCTTTGAGTGTTAAAATGAGAAAACACTTCCGAGAATGCAGATACGGTTCCCACAGCTTTAGTGGCTGATTTAATGGGAAGAAGACAGATCCCCAACATTGACCATGAGAAGAGGTCTCTTTGGTGTAGACCAGAAGAGACTGTTAGTCCACAGGGAAATAAATAGAATATTCTCTCTTGAGAAAAAGGATCCCGAACAAAGTTCTCCTTCACATGTTCACTCTGCTTCAACAGACCTTTCTGTTCTGCAGTCAAGATTTTGCTTTTTCACTTTCATAATCAGATAAAATGAAGCTAATTTTTTTTAATAAAATGAAAGATTTTTTTTTTCTTGCTTGGTCAGCAAAATCAATTGGGTTTTGCTAAATGAATGGGCTCTTATGTGGAAAACTGCAAGAGGAATAAAATGAGAACAGATTTAGACTTCAACACCTGGCATCAATACAACTAAAGCCCCAGCGAGTCCCAGAACAGGCAGGCAGAGTTTTTATTTTTATAACCAGATTTAGATGGAGAATGTTAATTCAGGGCAAGTGGAGTCAAGGGCGGCGATTGTATGAGGATAGATGGAAACTAGACTTTTGGTGGAGATTATAATGTGGTATAAACAAATGTCACACAATAATGCTGTACACCTGAAACCTATATAATGTTATAAACTAAAGTTACTTCAGTAATTTTTTTCAAATTACCTCCTTTGCAAAAGGAAAGTGGGTTTCAGAAGAATTGAGCAGTAGTGCTTCTTTCCAGGAATTTTGTCACTACACACCCCACAGACCAAAGGTGTCGGTGGCAGCATTTTTCCTCAAACTGTCACATATGTAAATGCCACCAAAAACCAGAAGAAAAGAGAGATGTGTTTGTAAGAGAAAAGAGGAGCTAGCAGTCTCTAATGCTCTTCAGAACAAACATAACCTTCTAAGCAAGCCAGAGGAAAGTGCAAAATGAGCCTTGAAAAGAAGGCAAATAACTTTTTCAAGTTATTTACCCCTGAAGAGTGTTTTCTTTCAGTCTCCACTACACTTAATGCTCCTCAACATGTTAGCTAATGATAACCATTATGTCCA